GGGGGGATGCCCAGGCACCGGTTGGGCTGAGCAGGGGGGCACCGGAGCATCCCCTGAGCAGGGGGATGCCCAGGCACCAGTGAGGCTGGACAAGGGAGCACCGGAGCATGCCAGGCAGGGGGTACCGGACCGCCGGCGCCGCATCAGCCCCGCTGACGGCATTGTGGTCCCCCAGCCCAGTGGCACCCGTGTGCCGATGGAGATCGTGCTGCTGAACAAGGTGGGCTCCGGCTTCCGCGGCGTCATCCACCTCCTCGACTGGTTTGAGCTGCCTGACAGCTTCGTGCTGGTGCTGGAGCGTCCGGAGCCGTCGCAGGATCTCTTCGACTTCATCACGGAGCGGGGGTCCCTGTCCGAGGAGCTGGCGCGGGGGCTTTTTCGCCAGGTGCTGGAGGCCGTGCGGCACTGCCACAACTGCGGCGTCCTGCACCGCGACATCAAGGACGAGAACATCATCGTCGACCTCGCCACCGGTGAGCTCAAGCTCATCGACTTCGGCTCCGGCACCTTCCTCAAGGACACAGTCTACACCGAATTTGACGGTGAGCCCACACCCGGGGGGATGCTCCCGGTACCGGGCGTTGCATGGCCCAGCCTGGCTGGCACTGGAGGTTCCCCCCTTTGCTGGGGGGGAGGGAATTAATTATTCAGCCGGCTGCCAAGTTGCTTTTTGGCGCGGGGCGGATGTTGTGAAACGGGAGCCGGCTCCCAGGACAGCCTCCGCCACCCACCCTGCCCCGGGCTGGGGCGGGGGGAGCCAGCCCGACAAAAACAAACACCCGTGGGGGTAGCAGAGGAGGGGGGGGTCGCAAAGCCCGTACGCTGGCCGGTTTGCTTTGCAGGTGCGGAAGGGCTTGGGCTGCTCCGCTCCCCTTGTTTGCCTTGGCTTGGTTTTTTTGGTTGGTTTTTTCTTTTTTTGGCCAAGGCCGGGGGGGGAAAGGCGTGGTTTTTCCCCACCCGTGTTTTTTTGTGGGGGTTTTTTTTTGTTTTTGTTTTTTTTTTTTGCATGTAACGGTCGGGCCTTCCCTGGGCCCGTGCTGCCCTCTTCCGGCACCGGCAGCTTTCCGCTCCCCTTGTTTGCCTTGGCTTGGTTTTTTTGGTTGGTTTTTTCTTTTTTTGGCCAAGGCCGGGGGGGGAAAGGCGTGGTTTTTCCCCACCCGTGTTTTTTTGTGGGGGTTTTTTTTTGTTTTTGTTTTTTTTTTTTGCATGTAACGGTCGGGCCTTCCCTGGGCCCGTGCTGCCCTCTTCCGGCACCGGCAGCTTTTTTTTACAACCCAAAGTTTGTAAACAAGAGTCACGTGCTGGCGAGGGGGCGGCGGGTCACACCGTGTGTGTCCCCCGCCACCGGTGCAGCCCCCGCATCCCCGGGGATGCTCAGGCGAGGATCCAGGAGCGGGCAGCATCCGCCTGACGAGCTCCCCCTGTATCCCGTAGGAACGCGGGTGTACAGCCCACCAGAGTGGATCCGCTACCACCACTACCACGGCCGTTCGGCAACGATCTGGTCCCTGGGCGTGCTGCTCTACGACATGGTCTGCGGGGACGTCCCCTTCGAGCAAGACGAGGACATCATCCAGGGTCAGCTCTTCTTCCGACGGCGGGTCTCTCTAGGTGGGTACCCGGCTTCGCGGTGGGATAATGGGTTTTGGGAGATGGCACCGGGCACACGAGCATCCTGCTCTTACGGCTATGGAGGAGGTTGATCTCCCGTGTTAGCTGGAGGAGGTGGGACATGTCCTGCCATCCTGCTCTCCTCCAAAACGGGTAATCGACCGGGGGGTTTGAGTGCAGCTCTGAGCACACCCAGCATGGCCTGGGCACTGTGGACAAGAGCCTTCTCTGACTGACGGGCGGTTTCTGGTTTCTCTCCCCAGAGTGCCAGCATCTCATCAGGTGGTGTTTGTCCATGCGGCCCTCGGACAGGCCATCTTTGGAAGACCTTTTCAACCATTCTTGGCTGCAAGGCATTCACCTGCCCCAGGAGACAGCAGAGATCCACCTGCACAGTTTGATCCAGGAGCCTGGCAAGTAACAGCTCCACGCATCTCCTGGCCATAAGAAGCAAAGAAAACCAGACTTCTTCCTCGTGACCGTAGCACTGAGCAGGGATCATCAGATGGGAACACGCACATCTTGTCCTGGAGCTGGGCTGGAGACCTGGTCTTCCAAGCGCTGGTGGCCACCATCCAACCCAGCTGTCCTGGACTCCATCTGAATCATCCTGTCTCATTTGATGTTTTGCCAGTAAATTTTTTTTTTTTGGTTTGGGTTCTGGTTTTGGGGGCTCCCAGGTGTCTTCCTGACCTGCTGAATTCGGGACCGCGAGAGGATCGGAGACCTTATTGCGAGAAAAGCTCCGACGGGGGAAAACTGACTGGGGGGGGAGGGCAGGTACCGTGGCCGAATGGCTGTCTCTTCTCCGCTGTCACCGTGCTCGAGTGCCTTCAGTTGCGATGTGGGCTGTGCTGGAGGAAATACTTGAATTTTCCTACACTGCTGCTTTTCCAAGACTCGCCTGGGTATATAGTTCCTTTTCCCTTTTCCAAAAGAAAACAGGTCAGAAGATGCTTGGGAGCCAAGCGGGCGATGCCTCGCCTCCCGTGCCTCCATCTCGCGTGGATTTTCTGGGGTTCTTTGCTTCCCTGTGCCCTCACGAATGCACAAACAATGCAAACCAACAGAGCTGTAAATGTGTACAAAGTTATATAGGAGCAAAGCTTGATGTACAGTTGTTAATAGTGATAACATTTTACCTTTTTTCTTTTTTTCCAGTTTTTGTTTTTAATTTATTTTCATGAATTTGTTTTTGTTTTTTAAAGGAAGAGTTCTAGCCGGTAGGATAACTTATTTATTTATTTATAATTCACGTGGGTTTCCAACCCACGCCTTGCTTCTACAGCTGCTGATCCCCCGGTTTTCCATTCGGGTCTTCCCTCCGTGTCTGTCCTGTGTCCATCCCCGGGTCCGTAGCGTTTCTGTCGGATGTCTGGCGGAGGTGCGGAGCGGCTGCCTGCTCCCCAGCTGTCTGTGTACATAGTTCTGGTTGCTGTCGTTTCCTTGCCACGTGCAGATCTCAGTTTGCAGATGAGTTTTGGTTTTCCCCACGGGTGTCTTGTCTGGGGCTGGGGAGGGGGGAGCCGGCCCGAGCTGTCCGCGCTGTCGAGTCTTTACGTGTAACCAAGTGTGTAGCCGGCGGGTTTTTTTGTTAATAGTTAATATTGTACAGGGGAATTCAGAAATCTTATTTTTTTTATGCGGTTTTAAATAAAAACAAACCACTTGATGTGATGGAGACATCCCTTTATTGCGGGGCGGGATGAAGGATGCTGGGAGCACGCTGGGTACCGGTGACCACGCCGTGGCTACCGTGGGGACCGCTGGTTTGTCTCCAGCCAAGACTTAACTCCAAAGGTCCCACCCGAAGGCTTGCCGAGCGGCGTTAACCAGGACCAGCCAGCCGAAAGCACCATGGGGAAGGCTGGATCCGGCCCTTGGCGGGGTGTTTCCAGGGCCGGCTGCTCCTGGTAGGTCTCCTGGGAGAGATCAAAGGGGTGTGGAGCCCTTTTCGTTTCCATTCATCCGCAGGCTGGTGCGGAGCATGTGCCGGGGACGGCAAGTAAACAAAGATCAAAGCAACCTGATGAAATGCCGGATGTTGTCAGCCAAATTAAATTTTGGTAAGGCAGATCCTGTTGCTCCGGCTCTGTTGGCGCGGAGCGGGTGTTGCATGTCAGGTGCTGGTGGGTGAAGAAAGCCGCCGGTGGGCTGTCCCCACCTCCAGCTCGGCCGCGGCGAGCGCGGAGCGAGAGGAAGTCGATCTTCGGATTACGAGAAGTTGGTCGCTATCAGTCAGCAGCGGTAACGCTTCGCTCGAGCTTTTACCCTCCAAACTGTCAAACCCCACTTCCCAGCTCCACGGCGCTTCAGCTTCAGGGGTGGTGTTTTTTGGTGGTTTGTTTTTTTTTTTTTGGGGGTTTTTTTTTTTTTTAAATTAATTAAATGTGCTGCATTTTGAAGCTCTGTTCCTGCTTGACCTCATGGAGCACCTGCTGCTGCGTGCACACAGGGCTGTGTGTCTCCTACTCCAAGGAAGGGGCATGTTTCCCTTTCTGCAGGTTACTTTGCAAGTCCCACGGCCAGATCTGACGCAGAACAGGGCTTTCCTTGGCCTGCCCCATGGCTTTCTTGCTTAAAACCCCCATGCCCAGAGAGTTCCCCCTTTCCCTGGGTCACCCGGGCTTGCCAGCATGGCTCTCTGAGCCGTGGGGCCGCTGTCGGAGGGAACCGGGGATCCTGGAGCCACGTCCCAGCCTCATGGGGTGACCTGGTGTGCTGTGTCACCGCTGTGCCTCTGCCTTCAGCAGAAAGTGTTAACTCTGTTTGTTTGTTTTTCTTTTTTTCTTTTTTTTTTTCTTTTTTTTTCTTTTTTTTAACTCGGCTGCATCTTTCATCTCCTCCTCGGGGCTGCTAGAAGCAGGAAGCGCAGCTCCAAACGCTTTCAAAGTTTAGGCCTATTTTGAGATGTGGTTTGTATTTAACCTCCTCTTTTGCTTTTTCCCCGGACCATCCGGGAAGCTGCTCTTACACGAAAGAAACCCTCTCCGCCACACCGCCTGCTACCGCAAGGAGCCCAAGCCCCTCGGGTAGCCACTGTCATTCCCCCCCCCGGCACCACCGAAACGCTATCGCAGCTGCCCCGGCTGCAGGCTGAGCTCGGCCCACCCTTCCCGTAAACGCTTGCTGACTGCTGTGGTGTTTCTTAGAAAACTCGCCGCAGAAAGGCCGAGCAGGTCCGGCACGGGGCTGGGGTGCTGATAGGCACTTCGTTTCCGCCTGTTGCTGATGATTTTGCCCCCGCCGGGCTTGTGGCTGCAGGAAGGGAACGGTGCCATCGCGTCCCCTGGCAAGATCCCGCTTGCCCCGGTACTGTCTTGTCCTGCCGGGGCCACTGGCTGCATCCAAGGTTTGGTTGTTGGAAAAGGATCGCTGCGTGTTTGATCCCCTGTGCACCAGCCCTTCCTGTGCAGTAATACCTTCACCCGGCTGAGAGCCGCCAGATTCGTGTCCCAGACGGGGAAAGGACCACGGGCAGCTGCAGCATCGGCTGCCCGTTGCTTCCCTCCACGACACCCATCGCCATCGCATGGGGACTGCGCACAGGGGTTGGAGGAAAGGAAAAGGCCTTTTCACCCCTCGTTTCTCCTTGGTGGGGGGATGTTCACTGCCCTTCGGGGCCGTCAGCTGTGACAGGAGAGGAGGACGAAGCCGCAGGAGTTACCCAGTGGGAAGCGATTCGGAGCCAGCATCGCTCTCCCACCTCCCTTTCACAACTTTTATCGCTTCCCCAGTGTCAGCAGGTGAAGTATCCACAATTCAGAAAGCGGGAAAAAAAGGATAAAGCAGGACCGGGATGAGATTTCAGGCCGTTGGACCTCCCGTTCTGGGAGCACTGGAGTCCCACGGATGACTGAGGACTTGCAAAGGGCCAGTGCTCATCACACCTGTGGCTTCCTGTACACGTCCATCCCCAGCTAAGGTGCTTGGCCATGCAGAAAGGACTGGCCAGGGGAGCCTGGAGCCACAGCAAAAGGGACGTTTCTATTTTCCACATCCCCTTCTGGAAATGGGAGATGAGCAACAGCCAAACGTCTAGACACGGCTGGAAAAACGCAGTTGAGCACCGAGGAGAAAAGCCTCCCGGGGAGCAGGGGCCGGGCTTGCCACAGGGACCCGAAGAGCAGGAGACTCGGAGGTGGCATCTTGCCTCGTATCCTGTCGCAAGGAAAACATCCAGCTGCCCCCGAGGCGGTGTCTGAAACCCTTTGGCCCTTCTCGGCACAGTGAGTCACAGGAGCTATTTTAAACACCTGCCTTCGGACGAGGTGAATTATCAGCAAACCAGGTGTCCCAAGGCTCCAGCTCCCCGGTAATGAAGCTTTGTGGAAGTTGGTTTCCGAGTGCTTTGCTGATGGCCTGTGTGGCAATAGCATTACCTCCACGGGGCACTTGGGGAAACTGAGGCACGGTGCCCCAACTCGCTGGAGATCTTTTGTGGTGGAGCTTGGGCTTGCCTGCCTTTCCCTGCCCTATCCCTCCTCGGGCTGGGACGGGCCGCGGAGGAGCTCCCAACTTCAGATCCCCGATGTCCCCACGTCCCCTGGGCAGGGGATTTAGTCCTCCAGGAGCCGAGACCAAAACCCTGCGCCCCTCTCAGCATGAACCCGGGGTGAAACGTGTCCCTTCCCAGACCTCCTCCGAACCTCCCGCCCTGTGCTGTGAGGGCGAGGGGGGCCAGGTGCTGGTTTCAGGCACCTGGAGCCCCGCTCGAAACCCAAGTCTCATGTTTTGGGGTTTACACCGACCTTCCCGAGAGTGAGATCTGCGCTAACCCTGCCTCCGTGACACACCAGAACTGCATCACTCGACCTGAGAGTTGGTGGGGGTTTTTATGAGGAAAAAACACTTTATTCACTGTAAAAAAAAAACAAAAAACCAAAAAAACCACAAAACCCTTCCAGTGTGTAAAGGTGAGTCAAATTTAGCAGCTTCAGCTAAAGAAACATATTTTTAAAAGGGGTAATCAGAGTGGGTTTTTTCATCATTTTCCAGGCTTTTGGGTCCCCTTCCTCCAGAGTAATATTTCTGTGTCCTTAATCACCGTGTTTATTACAGTTAGGAGGGGGTTAAGCGACCCGAAAAATGAAACAACGGCTCCTGTTTCAAACTGAAGCGTCAAATTTAGCAGCTTCAGCTAAAGAAACATATTTTTAAAAGGGGTAATCAGAGTGGGTTTTTTCATCATTTTCCAGGCTTTTGGGTCCCCTTCCTCCAGAGTAATATTTCTGTGTCCTTAATCACCGTGTTTATTACAGTTAGGAGGGGGTTAAGCGACCCGAAAAATGAAACAACGGCTCCTGTTTCAAACAGAAGCAGCCACTTCAGTTAACCTGAAATGACACACAGGCGCACATGTGTGCATTTGAAGGGCGAGCGGGTTGCAGGGACGGAGATCTCGCCCCGCTGCGAAAGCTGTGAGAAAAACAGAAGCGGCAAAATGTCATTTCAGGTCAACCCCTGTCGAAATTCTTCATCTCCCCCCCCCCCCCCCCCCCCCGAAATGGGCAGGCAGGGGCTGGGCCCCCCGGCACACACACGCAGCCTCGTAAGCCATGGGTATCGACCCCAACGGAAACCGCCCCCGCGCTGCCAACCACACGGCACGGATGTTGCACGGCAGCCGTAATCTCGGTGCCAGGCTACTAGTGGTAGTAGATTGCTCGCTGTAGCATCCCTGTGTGTGTGCATGGCTGCACAGATGCATGGGTGCGTGTAGATCCCCCCCAAAGCACATCGATTTGGCCCAGGTTGGCTCCTGCCGTCACCGGCTGAGACCTGACGGCAATCGAAGCACAGCCGTGGATGCCGAGGACTTGGATTTCAGTCCTTTCCCCCATCCTCCTGGTGGATTTTCTCTCTTTTTGAGGAGAGGAGCAGGATGGACTCGATGATCTTAGAGGTCTTTTCCAACCTCAATGATTCTATGATTCTATGATTCTATGATGTGGGCAGAGCGGAGACAATGAGCCACCTTCCCTTGCCAGGGCGGAGGGGTCACTCTCCTGTCTCTCTAGCGGGGTGTTTCCAAAGTCTTCAATAAAGCCAATAAATGAAGCACAAGAAGATGATGTGTGAATTGCCACGGAAAAGCGGGAGGGAAAACGCCTCCAAGGAGGATCTATCCCCCAGGGTGAGAGGCGACAGCAAAGCCAACCCACCCTGCCTAGACGGA